ACACACACACACACACACACACACACACACACACACACACACACCATTGAAGAGGCGGGGCCAGGAACTGTGACTCGACCCCTGTAAACACAAATAGGTAATTACACATACACTGTGCAGCAGCAGCTCATGTGAACGATAATCTACTGTGAACCAGCAATTCATGTGAATGGTAGTTTACTGTGCACCAGCAGCCTGTGGCCTGGTGGCCAAAGCTCTCGCTTCACACGGCGATGGTCTGGGTTCGATTCCCGGCGAGGATAGAAACATTGGGCGTGTTTCCTTACATCGGCTGTCTATGTTCCCCATCAGTAAAATGGGTACCTGGGTGTTAATGGACTGGTGTGGGTCGCATCCTGACAAAGCTGACCTAATTTGCCCGAAGTGCTCAGCATAACAAGCGGCTTTCTATATAGCAGTATGTCATTGATGTCAGCTAGGACTGTATATCTTGTACATGTACTTGTAGAAATAAATATATTATGTTATATTATTATAATGGTAGTTTACCCCTGCACCAGCAGCTCGTGTGAATAATACAACTATTACAGACCTAGTTGATATCATTAACATATATAGAAAGCCCCTGGTTATGCAGAGCACTTCAGGCAACTTAAGTTAATCTTTACATGTAAACACTGTATGGCTTATATTGTCTTGAGAGATCCGTGAATAGTCAAGCGGTGGCGTAGTCCGTCGCCGTGACAACCACAATGAAGCTAGCCTTGGTCCTTCCTCTCTGAATAATTGGAGGAGAACCGTGCTTAATGACCGGGAACAGATCCTCTTACATGTTGTCATTCCCTGCTCTCTCTAACGCCCTTCCTCTCATTAAAGACTTCAGGGCTTTCAATTTTCTAATTGATCGTATTACATTTATCTTCTCATTAGCGTATCTTGTGGGTCATCAATGTCAACCACCTTTGTGAATGACTCCCACGACTTTTTTTTGTTACATCTTTTCCTGTGGCAGAGGGTTCCACTCAGGCGGGCGAGATGTGTTAGCAAGTCTCGTTTTAGTCGTGTCGCTTCAGCAGCTAGTTTACTGTACCCCCAGAGCCGGATTAAGATTTTGTAGGTCTCTGGGCTACAAGTACTGTGAGGGGCCCCCAGTGATATTTTCAAAAGGAAAAATATTAAAGAAATATTAAATTTATTTTTACAAGGCTAACCATAATTAAAATTCAAACATTTGCTTTGCGTATTTTCTTGGAAATAAATTGTGAACACTTTTCACTTAATCTCTAGAGGCCTTCCAACTGGAGGAGGCCCCTGGGCTGCAGCCCCTAAAGTCCATACCTTAATCCGGCTCTGGATACCCCACTAAGTACAGTATAGTTACATTACAAAATTGGTATTACGGTCATTGCATATATTACAATTCCTTCATATAGCTAATGAACGCAATACAATATGGAGATACATACAAACTCACAAAACTTAAGTATGTTATTATCACTAAAACATTCATCATTATTGGGTTGCAGTCTCTTCAAAAACCATTCATCTAGTCGAAGCAAAAAAAAAAAAAATGGAGCCTCAAGATTTCAGATGTCTTATCATTAATAACGACGTGGTTTGCCATATCCTATAGGGTTTACGTTGAGGTTTACCTGGAGAGGGTTTCGGGGGTCAATGCCCCCGAAACCCGGTCTAAGTGAGACCAGGCCTCATGGTGGATCAGGGTCTGACCAACCAGGCTGTTACTGCTGGCCGCACGCAAGCTGACGTACGAACCACAGCCCGGTTGGTCAGGTACTGACTTTAGGTGCCTGTCCAGTACCTTCTTGAAGACAGCCAGGGGTCTATTGGTAATCCCTCTTATGTATGCTGGGAGGCAATTGAACAGTCTTGGGCCCCGGACTACTTATTGTGTTGTCTCTCAGTGTACTCGTGGCGCCCCTGCTTTTCATCAGGGAAATGTTGCATCTCCTGCCGAGTCTTTTGCTTTCTTAGGGAGTGATTTTCGTGTGCAGGTTTGGTACTAATCCCTCCAGGACCTTCCAGGTGTATATTATCATGTATCTCGCCTGCGTTCCAGGTATGTGAACAAATGGTTTAGAAAACCGACAGGTTGATAAACGAGACACTTGTGTAAAATTTGGGTATCTTTATTCTGGAACCTTTCGCCAGCCAGTGGCTTCTTCAGCCCAGTGCAGAGAAAATTGGAAAATAAGGAGTTTGTGGTGATCCCATTTTTTAATGGGCCTGAAAAAAATAGCATCACATCTTATGGTGTGAAATTTAGTTATCTGCAGAATGAACCAGTAGCCAGCGAAAGGCCCAGTTAATTGAAAAACCCTTCTTAATATACTTTTCAGGTGTCAATAACGTTTGAGTGCTCTCACGACTATTGTTAAAAAAAAAAAAAGAGTTTGTATTCCCATTTTTCATGACAAAAAAATACCATCATTCTCATTCAACATCATGAACTTAGGTTGGTAGGTTTAAATATAAATTTATATAATTTAATCATGCTGTATAATCCTCCGGGTTTAGCGCTTCCCCCTTGATTATAATAATAATAATAATAATATAATTTAATCAGAGGACAATGATAAACCCGTAGGGTTGAAAATAAATGGTATAAAATACCTACATGAACCCGTTGGGTTCATGAATGGTATTTTATACCATTCATGAACCCGTTGGGTTCATGTAGCGCCTGAGGAATGGGAGGCAATTAGGTTCGAGTCAGAGGGATCAAGAGCCCCTCACCGGCATCAAGGTACCTTCCTTGAGGGATGGTAGGTTTAAAGCTTCTCAACATGAAGACATGTTTGACTAACCAAACACGTAACTGTAATTACCACTAGTCTAGAGCATACACACGAACCCACATGGAGACAATAAGATAATATATGCTCAAATGCTACAGTGCGACTCATATGTTGTTTTCACACAAGTCAGTCCATCTATCATCATTCCATCATGCAGGAGGAGCCACATGTCTATGGTGCATCCAACAAGATAAGCAGACTCTTGGATGTCACTACTGCCCGGCTCCGGCTGGGTTACAAGTATCTATGGCAGGTTAAATCACCACCACCAGATGTAGACCAAACGAAATGTAAACTTTGCCAGATGGACTATTGTCACACCCTGCGTCATTATGTACTGGAGTGCGATAAAATTAATGAATTTAGAAACAGCTCACTCAGAAATGTTCAAGAAATGGCAAAGTATTTTATCCACAGTGGTATATTACAGACCATTCTGGAGAAATACCATGACTATGCTAGTTGTAAATAATGCATTACCATGTGTGTGTACTCACCTATTTGTACTTACCTATTTGTACTCACCTATTTGTGGTTGCAGGGGTCGAGTCATAGCTCCTGGCCCCGCCTCTTCACTGATTGCTACTAGGTCCTCTCTCTCCCTGCTCCATGAGCTTTATCATACCTCGCCTTAAAACTATGTATGGTTCCCGCCTCCACTACTTCACTTTCTAGGCTATTCCACGGCTTGACTACTCTATGACTGAAGAAATACTTCCTAACATCCCTTTGATTCATCTGAGTCTTCAACTTCCAATTGTGACCTCTTGTGTCTGTGTCCCATCTCTGGAACATCCCGTCTTTGTCCACCTCGTCTATTCCGCGCAGTATTTTATATGTCGTTATCATGTCTCCCCTGACCCTCCTGGCCTCCAGTGTCGTCAGGCCGATTTCCCTCAACCTTTCTTCGTAGGACAATCCCCGTAGCTCTGGATTAGTCTTGTTGCAAACCGTGGTTGGGATTCCAAATGGTGCTGCATACTCCAGTAGGGGCCCTGACGTAAATGGTTTTACAGAGTTTTGAACGACTCCTTACTGAGGTATCGGAACGCTATCCGTAGGTTTGCCAGGCGCCCGTATGCTGCAGCAGTTATCTGTTTGATGTGCGCCTCAGGAGATATGCTCGGTGTTATACTCCCCCCCAGATCTTTTTCCTTGTGAGTTTGCAGACTTTGGCCATCTAAACTATATTGTGTCTGCGGTCTTCTTTTCCCCTAACCCAATCTTCATGACTTTGCATTTGGCGGGGTTTTTAAACTCAAGGACCCAGTTTGCTGGACCAGGCTTGTAGCTTGTCCAGGTCTCTTTGTAGTCCTGCCTGATCCTCACCCGATTGATTCTTCTCATTAACTTCACATCGTCCGCAAACAAGGACATTCTGGGGTCTATCCCTTCCGTTATGTCATTCACATATACCAAGAACAGCACGGGTCTAGGACTGACCCCTGTGGAAACCCCGCTTGTCAAGGCGCCCACTTTGACACCTGTCACGTACCATGACTCGTTGTTGCCTCCCTGTAAGGTATTCTCTTATCCATTGCAGTGCCTTTCCTGTTGTGTGTGTGTGTGTGTGTGTGTGTGTGTTGTGTGTGTGTGTGTGTGTGTGTGTGTGTGTGTGTGTGTGTGGTGTGTGTGTGGTGTTGTGTGTGGGTGTGTGTGCTGCAGTGTGTGTGGGGTGGGTGTGTTGGGTGGGTGTGTGTGGGTGTGTGTGTGTGTGTGTGTTTTGGTGTGTTTTGTGTGTGTGTGTGTGTGTGTGTGTGTGTGTGTTTTTTGTGTGTATGCATATATTTGTATGCTCGTGTGCATATGTCTGTGCGTGCGCCCTCATGTGTGTATGTGTGCGCGCGCGCTAGTGTGGGTGTATGACCCACTTAATATTTGTATTTATAACTCATTACAATTGTGACCAGGTGTGGACATATCAGTGGTTCATTACTTTGTAATTTGTTCATGGCTGTAACCATGTATAGGAGTGAGACTGATTCATTACCTCTGTAACTTGCCATGATTGTGACCAGATCTACCTGAAGTTCATTACCTTTGTAACTAGTTCAGCTATTATAACTTTGGGGTCCAGTCCCTGGACCCATTATGTACCTCTGTAATCTTTTGACTACCGCCCACAGGATGGGTATGGGGTGCATAATAAAGATATTAAACTAACTCGTGGCTTCATTTGTTCTCTATCAGAGTATCATCCTCCTCCCTCAGGATGAGGACGTCAGGAGCGATCAGAGCGACTTGTCAGCGTCAGCGACGGAGGCTTCATCGTTGGTAACAGTCAAGGCTGGCTGCTGCAACTTTAACCCCGTGAGTGAGTCTGGCAAGAAGTGGCACCAAGTGCAAATGATCATGCTGCCCTTCATCCCCATCGCCGCACTCATCGTCCAGAATTGCTGGTTCATGTCCACCGTCGCCGAACACCAGAGGGAAATACAATTCCTCACATCTCAGGTAGACGTCTTTATATGCACACGTGTCTCTGATTGTAGCTTGTTGCAGTTATACCAGTCACTCTCTGGTCGTAGATACTTGTGACTGCAACGATATACGAATAACCGGCATATAAGAGAATGAAACTTATGTTTCGGTGCGTCGTCATAAGTTCCATTCTCCTATGTGCGGGTTATTTGTATAACTTGTGGACCTGTGAGTGCATCTCTGACTGTAACTGATGCTGTGCAGCCACAACTAAGGGAATACAGATAGGTAGCGTGTCTTCGCACGATTAGCAGATAGAGGATCGGGTTAGTTAAGATGCATGAGGGGCTAGTTTCTTGTGTATCCCCATGCTGACAGACATCGAGGCTCCACACGGCTTTAACGATTTATAGAATAATAATAATAATAATAATAATAATACAGTAATAATAAAAGGAGCAATAACAGGCCAAAACATAGGTCACTATAACATGACACGGTTCATCTCACTACAGAAAAATGGTATAGTGATACCGACAACATGTGGAAAAAGACACTTAGGTACTATTCAGGACATTTATTACAGGAAACATTTCGCCACGAGTGACTTTTTCAGTCTTGAAGTCACTCGTGGCGAAACGTTTTCTCTAATAAATTTCTAGAACTGTACATAAGTGTCTTTTTCCACATCGCACTATAGGTTCACAGTACGGTGGACCTCGGGATGCTGCTGACAGCACTACAGCTGGAGCGCGGAGATGTCGCCTATTACATCTTTTCTAACGGCACCAAACACAGGTAAACTGCAGATTGAGATTACACACTTTCGTGAACGTAACGAATCGTGTAAATAAAGCTTCTTGTAGGTACTTAACCAGGTTGACTCGGATTAATTCCACACGACGCCTGGCTGACTCGGGCTCATCAATCAGTCATCCGTGACGTCTAGCTGACGCTTACATGATCCTCCAAGACTCCTGGCTACAATTGGGTTCCAGTTCAAAATACGTCTGACAGACCTGGTTTGATCCTTCAAGACGTTTGGTTAACCGGGTTTGATTCTACTTTGGCTATGTATATAGTTACCTTAATTCTTGATTTAGGAATTCAGGTATTCTTGATATTAGTGCATTAGTGAATATCAAAAACTCACATGGAGTTGATAGACTTAGAAAAAAAAAACTTTGTATTTATCGCTGTTAGTGTTTGAAGGTTGGTATATACATGGTCGTCATAAAGAACTAGCACAGGTTTTCTCTCCAGTGGAAGGAACCACGTTTACCCTTGAGTGACACCGCTGAAGCATTAACCAGTGTGCAAGAAGCCACCTTAACTTTTAATTACTGCTCCTAAACAGTGTCTCTTAATTATCATATTTTCGGACTATATATTTCTTACCAATAATATTGATTTCAATTTTCTATCAATAAAAAGTTTTAGTATTTCTGACAGGAAGAATTTATTTTCATAATATTTCCTGAATATAATGCAATTACACTCATAACTGTGTATAATGTCAAGCTCTTCTGTGGTAGTTTGTGTCCCACTCGGTCATTATTACTCATGTGTCACCGAGAGGAAATTATACTATGGTGTTTGAATTGTCACTCTTATGAGCAGACATGTTTGTAAACAAAATGCGTTACCGTAGCCTGACATCAGTATCATAAGGGCAATTAAGCAATTAGAGCTGTAGTGTACTAGTGAATTCTGAATAAAGTTAGGTAGAGTGTTTGTCTCACTTTTCAGGGAAGGAGAGTCAAGCCTCCACTTCATCTTGTTCTGAATGACTAATACGGGTTTCACATAAAGGTGTAATATATTACCCAAGTATCAGTCCATGTTTAAGAATTTTAACTTTTGCTAGCTGAGTATCTAACAATTTCTGTGTTGTGCTCTGATAGCATAGTAAACTTTATCACTGCTGAAAGGTAAGGAAACATCAAGCTACTGATGATACAACAAAATACTCCAGCGTTGTGCAGTTGTCACTGTCAAACCTGCAACTTTATTTAGAAACTTAAAATGTTCAAACTTTCACATTATGAGAATAAAGTTATTAAACAAATTACTTGCTGTATCATCAAGGCAATAATCGGTGGTCGAGATGTTATGCTGCTGCTCCTGTCGAAGTTCGAGACAACTTATTACAAGTCATCTATTTACTGCTAGAACATGGTACCAGGTGTAAGGATACTTGCATATGAGTTTAGACCGGGGATCGACATGTCTACACGGGTAATGCTTGATCCTAGGGCAGTGTTTTGAGATGTACACAGAACTTGTAACTGAGAGCTTTCCCAAGTGTTCAACTTCATTATTTTATTATTTACAAAATATTTTAATTTAGAAATAAGCTCAGTTCCTGAGAAGACACGATTGGCTTTTACATGGCTGACATGCTGAAAACCACCCCACACAAACTGATTCTGAATCAGGACATGAAGCATATGCACAAAATTGGTGTATAACATAACATATGCCGCCCGTGCTCTACATTAACATGGGTTACAAGGAAATATCCTAAATTTTAAGAATGAATGGAACAACCCAGAAGGATCAGTTGCCGGGCGACCAGACAATGCAGGCGAAGGATGGTCCTGCAAGTGACGACTACACTCCCTCACGTTCAACCACACCGAAGATCAGGTCAGACGAGTACTCTTCTTCCAGCGTATAGATGTGCCATGATCCTTCCTCAGCTTTGCTCGGTGTTCCTGGCTTACTTTTTTTTTCTAATTCTCAAAATTTCTCCATGTGTATGGATATGTGGTTTATTATGTTCGTCAGGGAAAAGAATCATGTGTCGCCGGTCTTAAGAATATGGCGACCCTCTGAATATCTTATTAGGAGCTACTTAAAGATTTCATGTATAAGGGACCAGGAAAGACAGGAGCACCAAATTTTCACTAAAAAGCTGAAATGTGATTTGGGAAAGGAATAGGGTGCTTGTGGAAGAAAGAAGTATTTTAATTTCCCACCATGGTATGAGAGCCAGTCAAACATAAAATGTAATGGGAGGTATGAACATTTATTGGGCTTCCCCAAGTCAGCAACTATTTGTTATCAGTCTTGCAATATGCCGTTTTCTCTGACATATTGCAACGAATTAAAGTATTGTAGTTTCGTACTTCAAAACTTTCCTCTTACCTATCATTGCCTTAAAAATACTCATATTATATTCTTTATTTTTTCAGAGTTGTTCTTTTCTTACTTCATAGAGATTCGTAAAATTTTTGCGAAGAAGAGTGTTTTCCAAAATCCCCTTAACCTGAGTGTTCTCAGACATTAGCCTGATCAACATCGACCCAGGAATCCCTGACATTCCTCTACACACTTACCCAAGCCTATTACCCCGTCACCTCTAACGTATTCAGGTCAGCCAGCCAGTACATCCCCCTGACATCTTATCATAAATCATAATTTACAGTACTAACAAGTTGATGAGCAAGACACATGTGCAACACTTGGTATCTTTACTGACGAAACGTTGCAATAATAGTGATTATCTGCTAATAAGGCTGAGGGACTGATTACCTCAAACTACCTTTCCACTTCACCTAGTGTCTTCACGATTGCAATTCATCTCTGTATTCGACTGATGAAACCTGCAGCGCAGGTGGAAAAATTGCCAATAAAGTTACCTAGTGTTCTGTGTCTTACTCATCCCCTGACCTATTAAGGTTTTGCATGTGGCGACACGGATTATCGACTTTTTTTTTTGTCAGCCGTATTGGCCGTGAAGCTGCACTCACTACCTACACATACCGCGCATATATGAGACTTTTCTCTAAGCCTCTGCGATAGTTACTGCTTGTTGTGCTTTTCTGTGTAGTAATCGACAAGATGATCAGTGAAATTAATATTATACAGGTTCCCCAAGGATTTTGAAAGACGAACATGAATTTCTGCAGTGAGGCAGAGACTAGGAATTTGCAGAAAAATTTCCGCCCAGGAACGTGCCTTTTGCTGGTGAGTGGCTCTTGGTCCAGAGATTTTGAGCTACCCTTCCTTTCCTCGGATCAGCTCTGATTATCTTCCTCTAATACTTGGGTAAACACCAAGTGGAGGCCGTATCCTCTTAGGACTAGGCGGAATCTGCCCAGTTTTTATTGGAAAAGAATAAAGTGTTAAAAAAAAGTTATTGTAGTCGTAGCTATTAGGTTTAGCACTGAGAGAGGTGCTGTTGTTAAGGAAAGGAGTCCACTAACCTGGGACATGCACTCGCCAGGACCAACCTTCGAGACACTTTCCAACGCACTGACCACATCCTTGAGCAAGTGAACGCTTGGCCCAATTTCTCCGATATCACCACGAATACTCTCCTCGGATCTAAGCTCAGGTTTCAGATCAAACTTGAAGACCTCAGGTAAGCTATATAGTGTAGATGCTTGGATGGAGGATGTAAAGAATTTTATAGGATGCAAGATAGGCTGTAATATTTAGTCATAATGCTAAATATTACAGCGTAGGGATTAACATTCATAATTTCAAGTACTCTGAAGGGAATCTGCTTTAGTCAAAGAATCTCCAGTACACGTGTATTTGTTTTACTTAATTTGTATATGTACTTCTTGATATTTGTAACATCTAGTAGAGCCTGTCTACCCTGGAGTTATGACATTGGTGTTTTGATTGTGTGTGGAAGGAAGACAGCCTTATCGTCATTAATGCAGTCTGACAACAAATTCAAGTAGTGTGCTTTATTTCCACTGGGCCCTTCCCTAGAATGTAATTCATGACACTCGCCTATGTTCACATTTACTGCTATGTGAACATGGACAGCATAGTCTCGCCTCACCTGAGACTTGAACCAGGGCCCTTTCCGTTGAGGTGACCGCACTCGACTATAAGCTGTAATGATGGCCTTGTTGATCGTATGGTTATGTTGATGGCTGTGTGAATAGATATGTATTCGTGTGGATGAGTGAATGTGTGGGTGTATAGGAGTGTATGTGGATGAATGTGTAAATGAATGGACTGTGAGTTCGACTCTGTTAATCTCGTCCATCTCACTAGGTTCTACATCCCTAAAGGCTCTGGAATTTACCCGTAAAGGTGTTACAGCTTGGTTCAGTGACTGTCAGGGACAAAAATATAAAGTTCATTTGATTATGGTGTGCTCGTGTTACATGGTACTGGCTGATTTACATAATTATGCAGATGTAATCTGTTACTCCGAGGTCCGTGTCATTTTCCACATTTCTTTCTCAAATATATTATTTTTTTTCATTACTGATTCTGTTATTTGTGTTTGTTTATAATTTATGTTCTTTCTTTTGTTTCTTTCATTTTTCCAATGAAGGAAGACCTCTGTACGTATTTTATCCGCACTTGTCTTGATTTTCAAAATTTTCCAACAGGACATAAATATTTACTAAATGAGAATAAGTAAATAACTTGTTTCTTTTAATGCCTATCCATGGGAAACAACAAATTATCTTCCGTAGTAAAATGCTTTTCATTTGTGCGATAACTGTACTCACTCACCTCACCTAGTTGAGGTTGCAGGGGTCGAGTCCTAGCTCCTGGCCCCGCCTCTTCACTGGTCGCTTCTAGGTCACTCTCCCTGAACCGTGAGCTTTATCATACCTCTGCTTAAAGCTATGTATGGATCCTGCCTCCACTATATCGCTTCCCAAACTATTCCACTTCCTGACTACTCTGTGGCTGAAGAAATATTTCCTAACATCCCTGTGATTCATCTGTGTCTTCAACTTCCAACTGTGTCCCCTTGTTGCTGTGTCCCATCTCTGGAACATCCTGTCTTTGTGTGTGTGTGTGTGTGTGTGTTTGTAGTGTTTGTGTGTGTGGTGTGTGTGTGTGTGTGTGTGTGTGTGTGTGTACTCTCCTAATTGTACTCCTAATTGTAGTTGCGATTTGATCTACTCGTCTTAAAATATGTATGGTTCCTGCACCATACTCACTTTGCCAGACTATTCATCTTCCTGAACTACTCTATGCCTGAAAATACTTCCTAACATCTCTTTGACTCACTGAGTCTTCAACTTTAATTGACCTTGTTTCTCTGTCCATCTTGGAACACCTGTCTCTTCCACTATATCTATCTCGCAGTATTTTGTATGTCGTTATGTCTCCCGTACCTCCTGTCCTCCAGTGTCGTCAGGTGTGTGTATGTGTGTGTGTGTGTGTGTGTGTGTGTGTGTGTGTGTGTGTGTCGTGCGTGCGTGCGTGCGTGCGTGCGTGCGTGCGTGCGTGCGTGCTGTGCGTGCGTGCGCGCGCGTGTGCGTATGTCTTCATCTATTTATACTCAACGAGTTGTGCTTGACGGGGATTGGGGGGGGGGGGTGGCCGAGATTCGACTAATGGTCTCGTCTCATAACTTCTGCTCAGCTATCAAAACTTTGGAGTCCAGTCCCTGGACCAATTATGTACCTCTGTAATCTTTTGACTACCGCCCACAGGATGGGTATGGGGTGCATAATAAACATATTAAACTAAACTAACTCATAACTTCAAAAATTGGCTAGCATTAACAGGTCCCTGGCTTCTTGGGCCCTGTCAACTTGCTCTTGAAACTGTGTATGGAGCTTGCCTCCGCTTGTTGATCACCCTAAGACTGGATGTTTGTTTGCATGTGAACGGCAGGCAGAAGATGAACGAGCATGAGGATACTGTGGCTGATAAGATGGCGTGGTACAACTTCATCAACTACTGCATCATGGAGGCTATCATCTCTAACATCAAGGGCGCCAGCATCTCC